GCCTGCTCCAGAGGTTTTAGAACAGTGGCCAATCGCTGGAGGCGGCGGGGCCTCACGAGAAGGCCCTGCCATCTCCTCCTCCCCAAAGCCAGCGTCGCACGACCTCGTGTCACCACTGAGTACAGCTCAGACACTACAAGCCCCGCCCACAAGCTTCCACTAAAGGTTTTTAAAGCCCGTCTCTCAATCCCAATCCGTCGACGCAGTTCAGAGATGCTTCAGGCCTGAGCTGCAGCTGTATTTGTGTATTTGTGTATGTCCCCATGCACGCACCTAACCTCCACCTGCTCTGCCTCCACCAATGGAGGTGGAGGCAGAGCAGGGTCTGCGTGCAGGGTCTGCGTGCAGCCCTATTCCATCCCCATATACCCTCTTGGCACCTTACCAGTACGTCCCTCCTGGACCGGTGGAAGGTGTTGGAGGGCTGGTGTCCCACCTGTCCCACCTCCATCAGCATGCACTCCTGGCGCTGGTGTCCCGGCCACCCACACCTCCAGCACTTCTGCTTCAGCATTTGCGAGGCTCCCTGCGAGTTAGGACATCGCCTTTAGTTGGTGGAACGTGCGGGGAGATGGTGGCGAGCGAGTTAGAGGCTGCAGTCGTGGCAGCTTCTCCACAACCAGCACGGTTGACGTAGAGCCTCCACCAGCTGTGGCTGCTCCAAGGGTGACCCGGCCACTATGTCAGGTTTGCACTCGGCCTGGATCCACCACTGTCTGCATGGTGGTTCGATCCACCAGCATCGTGGCCACTACCTCTACTGGCTGTACTGGTTGCAGGCCTGACACCACAGTAAGATGAAGGCCCAACATGTTTTATTTTAAGCTTTTTCCCAAGTTTGCTCTGTGCAGCACTTGTTCCTGCAGCAGCTCGCTCCTCTGGGTCCAGCTGGCTACTGAAATAGCAGGAAATTATCACCAAATCATTCCCACCTGCTGTCAGCCTCCTGCCACTGCCCCCCGAACCCCACTGCACCACCACCACCACCACTCTGCAGTGCAGCTGCAGACCACATCCC